TGCTGGCTCTTTTTGAAAGACCCATGGCATCCCTAGCTTCGACTCTAGAAGCCGAGCGTGTGGTAAGGAACAGGGTCAGAGAGAATGGCAAGATAACACGCTGGCCATCCGACAACAAAGTGGGCTTGCCTTCAGTGAAGGCCATGAAGCACAATGTTGTGTGCCTGGAGCATGTCGCACGGTGGTGGGTGCAAATGTCGCCGGTTCCATGTGTGATCCCCATCGACCGGATCAGAAAGGAGGCCCGGAACTTTACTGTGATATTGTTGTATGTTAAATTGCACGCAGTACCCTCAAGACTTTCTACTTTTGATGGACCCTAATTCTTCTAAGTGTAGCCCTTGCAACTTGGCTAGGTGGAAGAGCTTCGCAAGACGATGGGTTTGGAGCCTAATCTTGGCACTGTGGATTTGGACTCCTGGGGGTTGAAGCGGCTGTTCTCCCATGGCCTTCGTCGCTGGAGTTCAGGCGCGGAGCGGCCAAGGGTGCTCGGCCTGCGCCGTCGTGTATCATTTTTCATGGCAATTTGCCAATTTTTTTGGTAGGTTGGAGGGTGGGGAGTGCTCATCCAGCTGCAGTCTCTCATCAACAAGGAGTCATGAAAAACCTTAGAGCAAAAAGACCTCGCGATCCCTTCTGTTTTGTCAAACGCGGACCCCCCACCTTGGAAATAGTTTCCTGTTATTGTTCAACCGGTTTCTCTTTTTTAACAAGCCTGGTCTATGCCAAGGATGACGCTTTCGCAACCTTTTGGACCATCCTTGACGATGCCTGGACCAGTGAACCTGAGGAGGAAGAGCCGCGGGAGAATGATCGTATGCTCATGATTGAGGATGGGGATGTCGAAAACTACCTCGAGGTTGTGCCTGAGGATGAAGCAGAGTGGGAGACTTCTTTGGAGGCTGCCTACCCTTCAAATGAACATGAGCAGCCTTGCGAGCCTTGTCCAAAACCTGAAGCCACTCTTCCAGATCCTGAACCCTCGTGTCCAGAAACTGATCGTCGGCAACAACTATTGGAGAAGATGGACGCCATCAGGAGAAAGGGTTGCCCTTTGTTTTTGGGTGTTTAATGGAGTTAACCCTGACCATCCATGTTGGATGGTGTCCTTTCCCTTCCCTGCAGGAAACAAGTGGAAGACCGCAAGCTGTCGCGTGGGAAATCTTCCAGCATCTTGGCCATTTCAGCACCAACTTTTTATGAGTATGAGATTTTGAATGCTTTGAGGGTACCTTTCCAAGAGAGGTCAAAAGGCCTTATAGGATAATACGTCCTCCAAGATTGTCGTGGTGGACGTATTATCCTATAAGGCCTTTTGACCTTTGTTGGTTGGTCACCATGTACTTGAGGTTCTTTGCCTGACACAATGGAGACACTGCCTTACCAGTTTGACGACTCTAGCCTTTCAGCGCCTGCAAAAGGATTTGTTTCGCACGGTGACACTTTCGTCATTTCTGATGATGAGAAGGGCAATGAGGATGATGAGTTGAGCCCCACGGTTGTTCTCTCCTTCTACACACCTTCTGAATCCTACGTGGTTACAAACCTGGAAGCGCTGGAAGGCGACACATCTGAGCAACCTGCTTTGCCCAGTGGTGAGGTTGCTGCGCCTGCAGGAGACCAGTTTGCCTCTGATGCGAAGACAGGAACCACCGAGGACTTGGAAGACAGCCAGGTCCCATGGACCCAAACCCCAGAACACCTGAAGGGTGACAAGGAGATCTTTCAGGATAGTGTGATGGGCACAGCCGGATGTGCTGAAGAAGTTGACCAACCTATGGTGTCTTTAGATTCTTTAGATGACAAGAAGGAAGAGGAACCTGCTCATCAGGCTGTGGAATGTGCTGTGGGTACGGCATGTGAGAAGGGCGAGGCTGAAACGCCATCTTTGGCTTCATTGGTGGAGAATGGCATGGACCTCGCAAATGTTCAGGCCTTTATCAGCGTTTGTCAAAACAAGTTTAGTTGAAAGGCTTAGATTGAATTTAAGCGCTTCAACTATTCAACTTCCATGGCTTCCCCTCGAGGCTCCTGTGGTAACTCGACGTGAACAGCTTGGCTCTGATGACCGCTCCTTGCAGAAGAAGAAGGAGGAGGACGCCAATGAAGACCAAGACGCTGACTTCCAAGCTGATGCCGCTGGAGAAGGAGACTTGGCTGAAGGTTCTGAGCCAAGGAAGAAGCCTTCTGCGGCCAAGGCGAAGGCGAAGGCCAAGGCGAAGGCCAAGGCCAAGGGCAGAAGCAAGCCCAAAGCCAAGTCAGAGCCCAAACTGTTTTGCAAGCAAGAGACTGCTCGCAAAAGAAAAGCTGGCAAGTCGAATGAGGCCAACAAGCACTCAGATTCACATGACTTGGAGAAGCCACAGCCAGAGGATAGCCAACCCCTTGAGGAAGGCAATGCTGTGGAGAAGAAGCCTGAAGGTGATGATGGTGAGAAGCTGGACACCTCAAAGGAGGTTGAGGCGCTGGAGGCGGGCGCAAAGAAGAAGCCCCGCAAGAGCCGGGAACCCCGACAGCCAGGAGCGCCTTTGACTACCTTTGCTGCCCGCTACATGCCTCAGGGTGAGGTAAGCGCCATCAAGTTCACTGCCATCCGGGATGTGTTCATGGAGTTCGTGGCGCCAAAGTTGAAGGGGCAAACTAAGTTCCAGGACCATTTGTGGATAAGTGCACAACGTTTTAAGAAACAACTTTTGGCAGCCAATGACACTTGACCACTTACCTATTCTCTGTAGAGGACAGCTTCTTCAAGCGGTGCTCTGCAGAGATGAAGGGCATTACCACTAGTGAGGAAGCGCGTACGATCTCGAAGGACCAGGTTGACGAGTTCCTGCAGCTGGACAATGTTCGAGTCTAGTCTTGATTGGACATGACAAGGGAGGCCACGTAACTTCATTGTGTTTCTATCCATGGGGTCTTATACATGCGTAACAGCTATGAAGCCACTAGGCCCCTCTTGGAATGTTTGACGTGTGCCAGGCATACAGTACAGTACAGGATAGCGAGGTCGCAAGGGTGTGCAAATGTTCCGCCTGGGCTTGAACATGTGCAAGAGTTCCTAAAGTTTGACTTTGAAATTCTTCGTGTCCAATGCCAGGATCAGCTTTGAAGTGACCGTCAGAGCGTGGGTATTCGGCCATGATCTGAAGAGCTGCAGGGGTTACAAGCGCTTGCTTAGATGTCTTGCTATTAAAGTGAACTTGTGCCGGTGCTTGTAGTGGAAGCTAGCTCTGATGTTCAAGGCCAAAAGGGCTTTGAGGTGAGAACTGGGTGTCCAGTTTTGAGCGGTTCCAGGTAGCCTCTTTTCCAACAAGTCTTTAGTCTTTAGTAGCAAAGGCAAGAGCTTGATTATTTGAAGGCTTGTGGAACCTTTCATACGAAGTATAGGAGCCTACACGATATGTTCAGTGGGACAACCTACTGCTCAGGCTGATGGGAAGTGAAACAAAGTGAGCAAAGATTGTGGCACAGGGTCTGTTGTATTCAACTGGATCCTCTCTCTCCCATTTGTATTTGTGTAGCCGGGGTAGCCTATCCACGACCTACGCAAACTGGAAAGAACGTTTCACCTTCCCTCCCACGTGGCTTTCCTAAGCCGCCTCAATCGACATGGCAGGCTTGCCTCCAATGGCTGGCAAGCGTCGGCGAGGTCTCTGCTTCCTTGCCAAGCGGGGTGGACTCGAGGGTGGAGCCTTCTTGTTTTGGGGATGACTGATGCAAAGCAATTCTGTTGGAATGTGTGATTCTGGGAACCAGTCCAGAGAACCGTCCGCAGCAATTTTTCTTGCCCAGCTTTGCCGCAACCTTACTTAGCTGTAGCCCTGATGAAGATGTCCACAGAAATTGATCTGGCAATGCGCAGACTTGTTTTGCTGGGCTGCCCTGTGGACACTTGCCCAGGAAAACCAGAACACAACCGAAGACTGTCTCACTAGGCTGTAAGTTGGGTTTCAGTTTCGCTTGCAAAGGACTTTATCTACTTGATTGTCTTGGTGACTTTCCTCGACAGTGACAGCTGGGCTTGCAAACAGGGGTTGCATGTGTTAGAGATCTGTAGCGGGAAAGCCCGCGTTTCGCGGATGGCTTCATGGTTGGGGCTAGAAGTTCGGGCAGTAGACATAGCGTATGATGAACCGCCTCCGAAAGTATCTACGCACAGTGGTCGGCCCCAACGTTCCTCCATGGATATTAATGGAGAAGCCGGGTTCGTGTGCATTGCCTTTGATTCAGCAAAGCTTTCCAAATAAAACATGTCTTGTTCACACGCAGTGTTCCCTGTTTCTTTGAAAGTCTATGTTTTGGGGTGCAAGCCAGGTTTCCCCCGATCTGAGGTTGTGTCTATGGCTGGCCATTCAAGGAAGATTCCAAGAGCTACTTGCAGTTTTAGCCCCTGTTTGCTCATCGTTCAGTGCAGTCAATGTAGCAACGTCCCAACGTTCTGAACTTTGTCCTTGGGGAAACTGCTGCCTAGTCGGGGTTCGACGTGGCAACAAATTGGCATCTAGGCAGGGTCCAGTTCGGGCATGTTGCTTGGAAGGAAGAGAGGTCATTACCAGAGGTCTCTGAACGCTACTTTTGGCGAGGCCTACCAAAAAGATACTACTTCACCCTTCGGACTGCCCTAATTGGTTCAGGTGCATTCTATTGATGGCCTTTGTATCCTCTCTGGAGGGCTCGTGGATGCTGGAGAACCCTGGGCTGTCTCGAATCTTCTTGTATCCACGGCTACTTTGGTTGATCAAAGCCTTAAAGAGGGTCGGATTGAGAGTTCCTAGGCTGCAAGATAAAGAAGTTGTGTACATTGTAAATGAAAACGCTGTCTCAACTTTTCCTAAAATGGCGTGGCCTCAAAGGTCAACCTACGCGTAGCGCAAAGGTTGCCTCAAAGGTGCTTAGGGCTACCAAACTAAGGGGTGGATGGTGGGTCAGAACATAGTGCAAATCCATTGTCCTAGGTATTCCGGACAAGTTTCTGGATGCGATCTTTCGGGGCTCCCAGCATGAAGCGCACAATGATCTTGACAAACCAGGAGATCCTGACGCGGTTGGGCACAGAGGCTATGAAGCCTCAAAGGGAAGGTTGCGCAGCAACCACAAAACGTTACAAGGGGAAAGATGGTAAGGACCGCTTTGTTGGAAACCAACAACTCAAACAGTCTCAGACATTCGACAGCATCAAAGCTATTCCATCCAGAAAAGGTTTGAGGGAAACAATCCAACAGGAGCCAAAGGACCCTAAAGGATACTTTTCTGGAATGTATTTTCCCAAGCCTTCTAGGGCCATGTCTTTTAGGTTCTCTTGGCGTTTTGTTCGGTTGTGGGGTGACTTTTTGCGGTTGCCTGCTGTACCCCCTTTGTCAAAACACCGGTTGCACTTTGGGGGGCAATGCGGAAAACTCAGCAAGGATCTACACTGGCCGATTTGCACGAGCTATCCTGAAACTTTACCCAGACATGACTTGGGCACCCCCAACCTGGCAATCAGAAGTTCCTTGGTTTCCACAGGAAAGTTCTGATAACAACATTTGCACCGCCCTGCAACTGGCCCCACCTATCTGGATGGCTTTCCAAGGTGGATGTGGCCACACCTCTGGACATGGTCTTGAGGAGTGCGGAGTGGGGCCCATGGGATGAGGCTGATCTTGGCCCTGTAATCAGGTACATCAGGGGTAGCACAAGGTTGCATCTTCCACAAGAGTGGCGTGATTTTGACGTCTATGTGGGTAGGTTGTTGTCCCAAGGGTGAGCATGGCTCTATGTTGTCATTGCATGACATGTTCAAGAGAATTCATGAAACCAATGGAAAAATGAAACGGCGCAAAACGGCGCTCAAACGGCGCAAAACGGCGCTCAAACGGCGCAAATTTTTTTCAGTGGTTTCAGAGACGTTCAGAGATATCACAGGTTCTCGCACGTCTTGCTGTAAAAACTCTAGAAGTGGTTTTGCTTACCCTTGCGACTGGTTAGTGGAAAGACTGAGCTTCTTGAGATGTGTGGGGCTTCTGGAAAAAGTAGCGCCGCATAAGGGAAGACGCAAGACAAACGTCACTGGCGGCGTTGTTGAGCTTGTTTTGCCAACTATCCATGGTTGAACCAAACTGTTTCTCTGATTGGTTTCAGCAAGTGGCTCAGTTTGTGTGCTCTTCTGGGTGTTGACATGGATCGACTGAAGAGCAACGTGTGGTCTTCTGAGACATTAGTCCGGGGAATGCGCCAAACAGCTGGGCAACCTTATGGTTTGCTTTCGATGCACTTTGACACTGAAGATGAAGATCTAAAGGAGCAGTATCTGGTTCCTTGGTCAATTTACCGCCACAAACATTAAACACCTAAAGGAGTTATCTGCCGTGTATTGTGTGCACGAGGGGTCCATTTTCACTTTTCACAAAGGCCTCCTCTACAAAACTATTCGGGCAATTCTTTTCTGGGGAAGGCCATGATGGTGGCTGTATAGACGTTTCCTGTGGACCATGCCGGTCAATCGGGGGAAAACCCCGGCCAATCCCCCATTCGAAGGGTTTGTCAACTCCATGACTCCATGGATTCCTCTTTTGCTCAGGCTTTCAAGCAAGAGCTTGACCACATGGAGCCGCCACAGGACCCGGTGATGGCCGCGCCTGTCGAGGAGCTGCCCCTGGCAAAGGAGGAATTGCCTCAGGTTGATGCGCCAGCTACCCCTCAAGAGTTTGTAGGGATAGATGATCTAGATGATACTGATCTCCGAGCGCTCTTGCTGAATTTCGACCATGACTTCGATTCTCGCTTGACTCATGTTTTGTTGGGAGACAATCTTTAAAAGACAACTTTGGGTCTAATGGCCTTTCGTGGTCTGCAACGCCAAGGAAGGATCTGTCTCTGTGGACGACTACACCTTCCTTCCATCCCCCGAGAGCAAGACTCAGGGCAAGACCAATGATGCTTCGCCTGGTGCTGCCTCCACCGTGCCCCCATCAGCCGCAGCTACTGTGTCCCCATCCATCCCAACCTCGGCCTCCCATTCTCCCGTCCAGGAAACACCGCCGCTTAGGACCCTTCCGGATGTGGCAGATTCGGCCCGCCCTGCCCCAAAGGCTGGAGAAGTACGTATCTCTCAAACTGCCATCTACCATCGCATGAGACGTGTGATGTATCCCAAGGGGGGGAAGGGTCAGAAGAGAGTAAGTGACGAGGTTGTCAAGCAATGGGAGAAGGGTGGGAAATCAAGAAAGACATTGGAACAAGTATTCCAGAGCTGTGGATACAATGCGGACATGGGCTTGAAACATGTTTTGTTTGGAAATCCAGGAATAAAGCAAACCATGGAAAATCGAAAAGGGTATGTTTCTTTAGGTGTTCTTGCGAGCACAAAGAAACAATGTGCGCTTAGTGCCTGCGTTCTCCTCCCCCTGAGGATGAATTTGTTATGGAAATGGAGATGATTGCCGCTGACTGTTTGGAACAAGATATGGTGGTAGAAGGTCAGTACGTTTCAGAAGAGGGTATGGAGGAGTGGGGCTGGAGCAGGTGCATCTAACTTCTATGCAAAGTATCCCCACAGTTTGGGTTTCCTGACCTCCTTCCCCATCCCCGTTGGCTTCGTGATCGCAGGTCTCGCAGGGAGGCAGTCAAACAAGCCGCTCGCGAAGACCCCAAAAACCTCATGAGGCTAGATTTGCTGGTTTCGACGCATTGGTAAGTAGCAACTTGAACTTTTGGCAGTTTTCCAAGTGGTTTGGGGATCCGTTTTGGGGCCGCTGGGATCTGAAAGAGTTACGTTGCCACCTATGTAGCGCTCTAAAAACAGGCTCCCCAAAATGCAACCAGGCCCTAAATCGGACCCCAAAACATGGAAAGTTGTTGCCAACTTGAACAGCTTGCTGCTGGCATCACCGCCCATGGCAGGCGAGACAAATACGAGCCCAACAAAGTACTCTATTGGGCTGAGACTTGCATCAAGGGTCAAAGTAAGAGCCTTGTTTGCAAAGCTGGTTGTTCTATCAAGTTCCCATGAAGTCATCATCAGCACTTCGACCCCGGGCCGTGTGAAAGAATAAGACTTACGTGCAATTGAGGGATGACTCAAATGAAGTAGTTGTATGCGGTCCCAAGGAGATCCAACAAACTCCAAGTCAACCGACGGCTGAACTTGGAGCAGGTGGCCGACAGCAAGGACCTTTCCAAGTTCATGGAACCCGCCGGCCTTGTTCCGGGTGGGTCCATGCTGCCGTTGCCGAAGCAAGCCCCAGTTCCTGTGCAAAGTGTTCCTACTGACGGCGTTCCCCCGAAACCGTCTCTGAAGGCCAACTCTTCCAGGGATTCCCATTCCAAAGCTCATTCCAAAGCTGAGAAACGAGAAGCGCCAGAACCAGAAGAAGGCTTGACATGCACACGTTGCTGCTGAATTGTCATTCTCCCAAATTTGCAGCTCCTTCACCCAAACTCCAGTCAGTATCTCATGATTTGCGCCGAAAGGTGAGGAGCTGTCCTCGGATGAAGAGCTCTCTGGAGAGGACGCGGAGGCCTTGGCAGCAGAAGACTTGGCCCGTTCAGAGAGGAAAAAGGCTGGGATTCCTGACTTGGAACATGATGCTCTTCCTTCAAGCATTGCGACCAAAATGCTGAGTCTTGGTTGGTCCAAGACCCTTTTAAACGTTAGCTTGCCTTTGGCACGCTTTTGTATCACTAAAACTTGCTCGCCGTTGCCAACCTCTACTTCTGTGTTTGAATGCGCTTTGTGCTTTTTTATGGAACAGAAAAAACGGTCTGCGTCTCAAAGCCGGGAACTCGCTTTTGATAAACTCCCAGCCCAGGGCCTGCATCTCAAAGCGGGTCAAGAAGCTCCAAGACCTCGCCGAGAGGTTCGGTGGTGATGCGAAGCTTACGGACTTGCAGGTAAAGACTATTGGCTGGATTTGTGTTCTTGGTCATTCTTGATCAAAGGAAGTTTTGTTGAACATTTTTGTATAGCTACGAACAGCTAGATTTGCTGAGGCAATAGTTAGCGCAGGCAATACTTAGCGTACACAAATAGCTAAGTCCAAGAGTTAGCCTAGCTGAAGAGTTACGCTCAGGATGCGAGACAAACTCAACCAGCTGATCACTGACCTCAACCAAAGCAGCGTGAGCATTGACGAGCAATACACTGCGGGTGTTGTTGATGGTTTCTCGAAGGAGTACCCACCTTATGACCTTTGTGGGGTTGCTTGTTTTGCTTCAATGTCAAATAGTTTCTTCCCATCTGTGTTTGCCATAGCTGCTGCAAAGGTCAGAGAAGACCATCGAACGCTTGTACGGTGATGCCCGCAGAAGGCATGTGGAGATTTTACAATGTTGAAAGCTAGGGTTGGCCAAGAAACACAATTTGTTCACCTGTTTCCTTCGCCAGGGCGATGGAGGGCATGAGCTTTGAACACCGAACAAGGCTCATTTCCCCTTTGTGCACAGCATGGTCAAGCGTCACCCATACCTTCCGTGCAGGTCTCTTCTGCCCAAAGTGAGTCAATCTTCAACACGGAAGAACCGAGCCGGCCGTGCCCGAGGCAAGGCTAAGGCGGCTAAGGCTAAGGCGGGTGCTCCCAAGGCCAAGACCAAGGCCAAGGCAAAGCAGACCGCCAATGCCTCTGAGCCTGATTCAGCCCCGGGAAAGCGGGCCAAAAGCTGAGTCACTGTTGTTTGAGGGGGGGATTACCAATGGTTGGTGACTTGTTGGGTGACAAATAGTTGTTCTGCTTCACTTGTATGTAAACTTTTGCCTTTGTTTTTCGGTCACCAACTTTGGATGAAGCAATTCAAGTTTGACGTGTGTGATTTCACACAAACGACCTTCATCGGGCATTGGAACGAGCTGCAGCAAAAAAAACAAATGGCAAAGCCGTTGACTGTTTCTTCAATAGCCAGCTATCGTTCCTTTAACAAAAATGCGAGCCAGGTGGAGAGCCCGTGGCTGGCCCTTTGACACACAGCTATGCTGAAGCTATTGCTGACGGGGCCCGCTCCTTATTGGTCTGCTGAGCTACTGTAGGTCTTCTCCGCATTTGCCTCCCTTCGCTGAGGTTCCAGCCGTCACAGCTGGCGGGATGCGCCGTGCTGCCATGGAAGAAAGGGGTGACCTCAGCGATGCTGACGGAGCGAAAGGTTGTTGGAAAAAAAACGCCCAAAGAACTGCCTGGCGTACTTTTCACAAGTTTGGTATTGGATGGAGAGTTCCGTTGAGCACGTTTGAATGGACTGCCTCCAATGGGGAGATTGTGGTTCTCAAATACTTGGCTCCCAAGGATTTGATACATTTTTTGTTGAACAACACACCTGATATTTTATTGGGTGGCGATTTCTCTGACCATGATCGTGCAGTGCATCTACAGTCCTTTTGGGCTGCCTACAGGCAGCTCCACCCAAGTCACAAAGTCTACACAACCCATGATTCGGATCTGGCTTACACGCTTCCACTCCTTCTCCACGGCGATGAAGGCCGTGGAAAGAGAAGAACTGGAACAATGATAGTGAGTCTGGAGACACCTTTTGGCCTAGATTTTCCGTCCAAGAAAAGGAAAAGAGATTGTGGTTGTCACCCGTCACCCATGGAGCTTAACAAGTACCAGGCACAACCTGGCCACGCTGCCAATTCTCTTGGACCTGATGCCCTGCGTGCAGTTCAGAACATGAGAACCAACACAAAAGGGCATTCCTTCTTGCAAAGATGGCCGTTGGTCGTCATCCCTGGAATAGTATACAAACAGAATCCTGACATTGCATACAGCTTCCACAAGATGCTTGCCCAGCAGCTCAAGGCCTTATTCTACGAAGGAGTTGTTGGTCCCCACAATCATATTTTTTGTTGCGCCATGTTAGGCTTGAAAGCGGACATGAAGTGGCACACGCAGATTGGTGGCCTTTCCAGGTCCTACGAAAACCAGGGCAGGGTGAGAGACCTGCAGTGTTGTCACGAGTGCCTGGGGGGTTCCCCGGGCATCAGCTGGGAGGATTTCCAAGAGTTTCCAGTTTGGGAGCAGACCGTTCACGTTAGCAGGCCATGGACTTCTGACCCAGTTCTTCTCCAAATCCCCTTCAACGATGCAGCGCCAGAGTCGTTTTACCAGAAAGACCCTTTCCACATTGGCAAGCTTGGCACTTTGAGGGATGTGGTTGGGAGCTGTGTCTTTTGGTGTTTAGAGAAGGGCTTCTTTGGCATGGGTGATGTGCCAAGCAAATTGATCACTGCTTTTGGTGCCTTCAGGTTGTATTGCAATGGTGTGGGTGCAAGCCCAGCTTTGCGCAGCTTCTCAAAGAATCTGTTTTGCTACAAGTCTCGGCGCTCATTTCCCTGGACCAACACCAAGGGAAGCGATACAGTACTTCTGTGCCGATGGCTGTGTGTGCAACTGACTGGTTTCCAGGTTGACCCTTCAACCAGCTCCGGCGACCGGGCTGTCCTCCAGCTGATGTGTCAAACAGTTCACGCCGCCTTGAGCTACTACGACCGCATGTATCTACATGGTTTATTTCTTGATCGGCAGTGCGCTGTTGCCTTGTGTCGTGATGGGAACTCTTTCATGGCTGGCTACTGCCTTCTGGCCCAGCATTGTCTTGGCTCCATGAACCTGTTTGCCATCAAACCTAAACAGCACATGTGGAAACACACATTAGTGGAAATCCGCCAGCAGCTCTCACGAGGATCGCAGGTGGTGCTGAGCCCTTTGTGTTACAACTGTGAGGGCAATGAAGACAGTGTCGGGAGGCTTGCTCGTTTATCGAGGAGGCTAGACTCAAGAGGAATCAGTGGCAGAGTCTTACAATGCTTTCTAGTGAAAGCTTACATGCTTCACCGCCGCTATCGCAAGTCCAATGCCAGCTCCAAGGTCGTCCGGCCTTCAAAGCCCCTGAGGCCCCAGCGAGCAAAGGACATGAAGTGCTCGAAGATGAAAAGGTCACGTGGGGGAGGTGGCAAAGCTCGACTACTATGTCTAGGTATATCTAGGATGATGAGCCTTTCAGGTTCTTGAGGGGACTGTTTGACAACCCAAGGCTTGAAAGCCAACCACTTGGTACAGAAAACATAGACTATCTTATAGTCAAGAACTTTAGATCTTAAATAATCTTAACTTCAACCTATTTTCCAAGATCATCTTCCCAAGAGAGCTGGCAAGAATCGAGGCGCGGACTGGGCGAAGGGCAAACGACAGTTTTTTTTTCAAACGGCAGTTCTTCGTTTAAACGACAATAAAGATTGTAGTTCCACCAAACGACATTATTTTCACATAGCTGTGGATCTAGGTATAGAGTATAAAATGGATAAAATCCTAGCTTCAGCATGCTTATAAACATCTAAAATGCCCGCCAATATGCAGGGCATCTGTCCACCCCGTCTTCTCTTATTTTGCTGCCCGGCGACAGCAAAAGCGCCTCTGTCCTGGCGACCTGGAGATCATTGCGATCGCTGAACTGGGTGGTTGATCAACTTCCCGTGACCAACTGGATATTCCAAAAAAAACACGGGAAATGGATGGAGCTGGTTCGATGCTGCGATACTTCGATGTTTGCGCCGTTGCGGGTGGCATTTGGTTTGTCAGTCTGACATGGCAAGCGAGTCAATCCCTGGACCAAACGAGTCCACTCGTGGGAGTCGTTGAGGAAAGGCGAGTGTCCTGCTCCGATGAAATATCTTTCAAATGACCCATGGCCCAGTGGATACGGGAAAAACATCTTCCCAAGATGTGGTCCTTCGGCCTTTCTTGATGAGCACAAGAATGAATATTGATCTGCAGGATCCATGAGAATGCGGAATCAATTTAACTAAGTGGAATGGACATCTTGTATCTCTGCTTCCCACCAAGATCAATCCAGGAGGCTTTTGAAGAAGGGGGACCCGTTTGTCAAACAGTGCATTCGCCAATTTCAAATGTGGGATGTCAGCAAACGAAGCACATAATGAAACATCCACTGTAGATCGTCCAACGTGTCCTTTCAACCGAACCAAAGACCTAAGCGTGCTACAGTAGCCTCTTGTTCATCATGTCGTTTTTCTTGCTTGGTGCTTCCTAGCTTATAAGGAATGGGTACCGGGGGAAGTTGGCCAATCGAGCCTCATAGGATCCCTGGCCTCTGCCCCCCAAAACAGCTGGAGACGGAGAGCCTCTCCTTCCACCGTCACCCTCCCCGAAGACCGTTCTTGCCACCGAAACACCGGCCAGTTCGCTCCAACGTCAGGTTAACATGGAGAAAGCGATCCCAGATCATCCAATGGAACTGGAAAGAGTTACATACAGGAACATGGGCTCCTTTCATCCATCAATGGAGGATCTGGGGATGACACACTCCAAAACTGACCCCCTTTTCCCTGTGGTTCAGAGCCGCAAGCCGGCACTGTGGCTCTAGAGGCAAGTCCAAACACACTGTTGACACCCCAAAATGACCTCCTCTCCCAAGCGAATCGCACACCTCGTGAGAGGTCCAGGTCTTCCAGGTCTTCCAGCACACCCTCTGCCCCGCCCGCGGGTGATCTCCGGCGCCTCCGTTTGCGGTTCCGCGGAGAAGTGACCGTCGATGCGACCGTGGACCTCGCGAGGCGGAGCAGCTGCGGTCGGAGCGGTCGGAGCGGTCTGGGTAGTCCTGGCTGGTCCAGTCAGGTGACATGCTGGCCAGGCTCCTGGTATGCTGGTAACACCAAAAATCGAAATGAATTTCAAAGCGTGTGGCACGTATCGGATGGGTGTGTAGCTCTATTTTGGGAGACCGACCCCTTTCGACCCTAGGACAGAAATACTGCAAATACTTTATACCTGGAGTCTCAGTTCGTACCTCGGAAAATGGGTACAAGTACTTGTTTTTAAGGGGTCATGTCCCATTTTCTAAAAGGTACTTTGGAGGGTCCAGGTATATTATAGACCTTAAAACTGTTCTCACTGATTAGGATATGGCTGTCAGGCACACCACCCAGTGGCTCTCCACACTGCGTGCCGTGTTGCCCGCGCTGCGCGGGACGCGCGCGTCGCGCAGGCAGCAGGCCTTTCACAGATCTCAGTGCTCTCAATGCTCGCAAGGCTCTCGCCGGTCTCGGAGGGGGCCACCTGCAGATCGGTGCGCCAAACGTGGCATCAGCAGATATCGACGAGTGGTTCAGGATGGATCGATAAATGTACGGTCCATCATGGGTTAACATACTGCATTCACTGGTCATTGCAGTGACACAAGATATGGCATGAATTCAAACAAAGAGCATGTGAGCATAGTCGATGCCAAAAATAACACAGCATATCTCAACATTTAAAACTCATGCCATACTTGTTGGGTACCGCACAGTAATTATTCATGTAATAACACCTCCATCTGGACATGTTCTCCTTCTAATGGATCCTTATCAGCTGCCAGAAAAACAATCTAATCAATTTAAATTGGGCTTCTCTGTCTGAAGTGAGGCACTATGTCACCAGTCGACACCCCTTGGGACGGTGTTCTTTTTTAGATGTATACATTGACCCGCTTTGTCGGTCCACTGCGGGTGTCGTAGCTGTTACGAGCTGCACTTCAACTGGGTGGATCGCCGCGACCCCGGACAGGACTCATGGGACTGCCAGGACGGACTGCCGATCCAGCCAGACCTCTGGCCGTCAACCACCCCTGGCCGTTTTGAAGGCAGTCCGACATGGCAGTCCCATGGGTCCTGTCTGGGGTATATGATATAGGTTTAGCAAACCTCTGAGCGGCACCAAGAAGGGGGATGCCGACATCCGTGTGTCGACTGTCAGCTCCCAGATGCTCCCAACGTCTGTGTGGATATCTAACTCACTTCAAACTTGTCCACCCCCCTAAAAGCACACACCTCACCGATCAGCTCGTATCTTTCACACACACACTCTCTCTCTCTTTCTCTCTCTCCCTCTCTCTCTCTTTCCGTCTCCCTACCTCTCTCTATCTTTTTCTTCCTGCGTCTGAGCCACATATTTGTTCGCAAACAAAACATCACAAATTAAAACTTAAGTGGTGCAGGAAGACCTGGCATATCTTGCTGGGGCTCAAGCCCTGACCTCCCTTTGCATCTTGGGCCGTCGGTGGCTCTTGGGCCGTCATTACGCGCCTTTCATCACCAGCCGTGCTTCCTGGTTCTTCCAAGCCTTCCTAGACCTTCCCAGCCTTGTCTTGCTTCATAGACTACCGTGGATTGTCGTTGTCCCTGGTGTAATTGGTGTCTTCTTGGAGCTGTTTGGTCCCTTGGTGTATCTAATAGTTGTTGGGCCTATCCTATCTATCCTATTACCAGTAACAGTGGAATGATCGTTAGGTTGCAGGCCAACATCTCTCAAATACCGGTATACCGGGCCGGTGATGTTCTTGTCTACCCTTCCTGCTGCAGGTTTTCTAGGACAGACTGACCCAAAATATACAGATATATACAGCAATATAGATACAAAGCCTCTGGGCCAGCAAGAAACGATGATTAGCTAGTGCAACGCAAGTGCAACAGGTCTTCTAGGACCTCCTGGCCCACCTCCGTTTCGGTTCGGACCCCCCGGGTGGTCTTGGAGGGTCGAATACCACCGGTCACCTGAGGAGATGGGACAGGAGCCCTAGGGGACAAACACGACGAATGGGACTGCGACGGACTGCCGATCCAGCCAGACCTCCAGTCAACCACCCCAAGGTACGGCATAGATGTGGCAGTCCCATTGGTCGGTCGTGTTTGGGGTATAATATCTATTGACCTTATGCCGCGTCCAACCTTGGTAGCTCGGTGGTAGCATAATCCCACAACCTTCTGGACTTTCAAGTGGTGTCGGACCGGTGATCGACATGTCTGTCCAAATAGCCTCAGAAAGAGTTTGATGAAATGCATGTCCTCAAGGGGCTCCCAACAACCACCGAACTATAGGAAGGTTTTGGTAGTCAACACCGTGATAAATTGTACTCAACAAATGCAAACAAATCCTTAGCTCCTACCATTCAAGCATGAGCACTCATCAGGATATTCGCATGGTATCGCCCAGCGAACGCTCCCCCCCCCAAAAAAAATAAAACGATCCACAACAAAAAGACACTCCGACAAACACGTGGAGGGCGCCACGATTTGGGATCATCATGTTGCGAATGACCAGCATGTTAGCGGGTTTTCACTCCACTTTCCATGTGAGCGGGTTTTCGCAGCCACATCCCCAGGCCTTGCCCCTTTTCAACCTCGGCCAGCGGACACACAAAGGTCGTCAGGTGCAGCACACACCGACGATGGGTCGTGTGGGGTGTGGGGTGTGCGGGGGGGGGGGGCACAGGGTCACCAGGTTGGCAGTTGTTCGTTCGATAGAGTTCTCTCCCGGTCCCAGACCTTGGAGAGCAAAGGAGCCAAGAAGTGATAGCAAACCTTCTTCCCCTTCATTCCATTCCTGGCATTGAAACTCCCAGCTCCACACCAAAGGTGGATTTCATCTGGGTATGTTATTCCCAAACGATCCATTCACTCACGTTTTAAAGATGCGCTGCATGACAACCACTGAAAACCCACCAAATGTGGGCGATATGGATGCGATATGTGCTTATATATATATATACATATAAGTTACATGGGTTGGCTGGGTTGGATATGTCACTTGCACTTCGGCCCATCGGCAACGTTGCAACCCGTGAGCTCAGCTCGCCACTCGACCGAAGAAACAGCTCAGCTCTGGACAGGTTCAGGATTTCCAAGCCCTTGATATGCCCATCCCTGGCATATTTGGGCGATTTGGGCGCGCCTGCACCAGGTATGAACCACCAATAAACACCGGTAAAACAACTTATATATTGTGATTGGGGTGACTTCACTTAGTTATAGGTGCTGCAAGGCTTTGAAAGCGCCAAGGAACGCAACTCAAAAGAAACAACATGGGCACACTGTAACAATCTGGGAAACCACCGTGATTCATGAAACCCTGCATGTCAAATTGATCTTGCAAGAATTAATAATGGAACCCTGCATTTCAGAAGTTCGGGCAAAAGAACAAATACCATTTTTAGGTCTTTCCCAGACGCTCACCCG